TATATATATATATATATTATAATATATTTCCTTATGTAATTAAAGTTCAAAAATAATATTTAGTCTTAAATTTCAGAAACTATAAATATGAAAACACATATGCATATGCACTGAAACTTATATGATGTAATGTATTATTTATTACTATTCGAATATATTGTCCTTATCCACAATCTGTTTATTGTTATATTTGTCTATCTATTTATTGTTATAAATAAATACATATAATGATCATTTTGGCAAGACAAAAATTTTATGTAATCGTAATATGTAAAATTATTTTAAGAAGTTATGAAAGTTTCATTACATATGTATAAATATGCGAAACAATTGAAATAAATTATATCTTTCAAAATAGAAATTAATTTGCATGGAATAAGATACAATTTAGAATTAATTTTATATATTTTTATATATTAGTACATTTAAAAAATATAATTGCATCTATTTTTTAAACGAAATTCTTTTAATTGTTCTATTTTTACTATAATATTTATGAATAATTTATGAATAAAAAATTTATGAATAATATATTTATAAAATGAGTTTATAGATTATTATAATTTAAAATTTGTTAAATTATATTAGATATATTTATTTAAATATATAGATATATTTATTTAAAATATTTATGTTATAGTAATCCTTCATTTATTTTTTTAAAAGTTTAATTAGTCTAAATCGCGAACGTTTTCGCAAATAGTATCATACATCTCAAATATCTATATAAATACTTAATAGTTATATGTATTTATTTAATCATGCTATAAGTAAATATATATGTTACATATATAAGTAAACAAAATTCTCTAAAGAAAATTAGTATTTTTATTCTATTCGTTGAATATTAAAAAATATAGAAATTGGATAATTATTTTAAATGCTTTAAAATGAAATTAAGTCAATTTTATTTTCAATTTTTTAATTGTTATTATTCTTACTATATTAAATTATTATGAATTTATTATATGAATTCATTTTATTATGAATTTTTTGTAGTAAAAAAAAAATGGATACTTCATCAGAAAACAATAATCACAATTTAAATCATGCTATAGCAGGAGCTGTTAGTGGTTTTGTAACAAGATTTGCTTGTCAACCTTTAGATGTTGTAAAAATTAGATTTCAGGTAAAAAAATTTATATTATGTGGAATACAATGACAATACTTATAATGCTATGTATAGATTTAAAAAGAATTCCATTATTATAGTTACAAGTTGAACCTATTGCTAACTATCATGTTAGTAAATATCATTCTTTTTTACAAGCATTTTATTTAATACTTAAGGAAGAAGGTATTACAGCTTTTTGGAAGGGACATATTCCTGCTCAATTATTATCAATTGTATATGGAACAACTCAGGTGAATATATATTTTATGAAATTTTTGATTTTTTATAATGTAATTTTTTATTTTTATTATAATATTTTATTTTTATATTTTTAATTGAAAAAAGCATAAAAATAATTTCTAATATTTCTAATATTCATCTAAATTTAAATATTACATTTGATACTGTTTAAATTTTATAATTTATTTCAGAAGCTTTTATTATTAATAGTAATTAATAATAATTATTATTATTAATAAAAATATTATTATAATATTACTAATAATATTTTTATTAATAAAATTAATTTATATTTATATTATTTATATTATATTATTAAATAAACATTTTAATTAAAGTTGAATTAAATATAAAAATAATTATTTAGAAAAAACAAATTCTATAAATTTTAAATAGTATCATTTGTAATACTGATTTATTTAAATCTCATTTTCATATATAACTAAATATTAAAATTTTACAGTTTTATTCGTATCATATATTTATGAAAATATCTCATAATTTTTCATTGTTAAATGAATGGAAATATTCAACCAATTTCATAGCTGGAGCAAGTGCTGGTTTTTTAGCTACAATTATATCATTTCCTTTTGATACTATAAGAACCAGATTAGTAGCACAATCAAATAATTATACAATTTATAAAGGAATTTTTCATTCTTGCAGGCAAGTTTAAAGTTAATAAAAATAATTGCATAATAAAATTAATTGTTATTTTATAAAATATGTTTACAGTTGTATTATAGAACATGAATCTCCAAAAGTTTTTTTTTATGGATTATTACCAACTTTATTGCAAATTGTACCACATACAGGTTTACAATTTGCATTTTATGGATATGTGAGTGATAAATATAAGAAATATTATAATGAAACTAATATTAGTTTTTACAATTCTATGATATCTGGTAGTGTAGCTGGTCTATTAGCTAAAACTGCAATATATCCTTTTGATCTTAGTAGAAAAAGATTGCAAATACAAGGATTTAGAAATGGCAGAAAAGGTTTTGGTATTTTTTTTGAATGTAAGGGACTTATAGATTGTTTAAAATTAACAATAAAGGAAGAAGGAGTAAAGGGATTATTTAAAGGTTTAGTGCCAAGTCAATTGAAAGCTACTATGACAACAGCATTACATTATACAGTATATGAGCAAACTCTAATAGCATTAAAAGCATTAAGATCAGATATTTTAGAATAATAAATTTGTATTTTATAATTATATAATAATTATATAATATATTTTATAATAAATTTGTATATTATATATAATATATAATATATATTAGTGTTATATTAATTTTATATTATTAATTATATTAGTGTTATATTATAATATATTATAATATATAATATATTCTCTTTTTATTGTCATATAAAAATATACATAATGAAAGATATATATAGATATATATTACATAATGTATATAGTACATATGTAATGTAAGACTATAGTAAAACTAAAATATGATCTTTGATTTTTAATCATATTTGTACGAAGAATTAAATTATAAGAGAAAATATCAATATAAGTTTCAAACTTGTTAATATAATTTTCTTTAATCATTATTCCTGCTTTAATAACTTATTGTAAAATACATATTATATAATATCATATACTAAAATACCATAAAATATAAAATAATAATTTTCTATAATATTTAACTTAAATTGTTCTTATAATTGAAGTGGAGTAGGCATTTCATCTGGATTTCCTTTTAAAACTGCTATAATATTTTTAGCAGTAATTATTGACATTTCCTCTCGTGTTTCTATAGCAGCACTACCAATATGTGGTAATATCACTAAAATACAAATGAATTTTGAATTTTTTAATAAATTTAAATTTAAATATATATATAAATTATATAAAAATATTTTTTATTATACTTACCACAATTATCTAATTTCAATAGCTCACTATCTAATGGAATAGGTTCAGGAGTCATAACATCTAAGCCAGCAGCTCTAATTATTCCATTTTTTAAAGCTTCTATTAGAGCAGATTGATCAACAACTTCTCCTCTACTGACATTTATAAATATAGCAGATTTTTTCATTTTTTTAAATGTATTTTGATTAAACATCTGTCTTGTGTCAGGAGTTAAAGCTATTGTAACAATTACAAAATCACTTTTTTCTAATAATATATCAAGCTTTACTTTTTCTCCTCCAAATTCAGATGCTTCTTGTTTAACATTTCTACTTGTATATAATATTTTAGAAGTATTAAAACTTTTTAGACATTTTGCTACTTGAATACCAATACGACCTAATCCTACTATTCCAATTATTGATTTAGATAATCCAGGTCCACACATCCAAGTAGGTGACCATGCTTTCCATTCACCCCTATAAAAATTATAATTCAAATAAAATTTATACTTAATTATATAATCTAAAATATTTAATAAGAATATATTTTTATTTTATACTCATAAACAGCTCTATTTGCTTCTATTAATCTTCTGGATGTAGCTAATAATAATGCTACAGTTAATTCAGCTGTTGCATCTGTTAGAATGCCTGGTGTATAACCAACTTTAATATTCCTTTTTTTTAAGGCTTGTAAATCTAAATGGTCAACACCTACTGACATAGAAGCCACAACTTTTAATTGTGGTCCTGCTGCATTTAATACTTCTTCATCTATTTTATCTGTTAATAAACAATAAATACCATCTATATTTTTGATTTTTGATAATAATGCAGATTTAGGAATCGGTTCAGGTTTTTCCCATAGAACAATATCACACCTAAAATATAACAGAGAAAGTTATAAAGATTAATAAATAGTTTTTTCATAATAATTTCATAAAAAATATATAATATTTGTAAAAAATATTTGAAAAAAATATTAAAATATAATTGTATATACATATACAATATATATAAATTTTATATGTTTATTAAATACTATTATATATTATATATTTTATTTATATATAAAACAATATGAAAAACATATGAAAAATACTTTATATATTGAAACAATAAAATATATTTTAAGTCTTTTTTAATATATAGAAAAGTACTTACTGTTCTTTCAGCAAATTTAATGCTACAGATGGAATATCTGGACGTGTAATTAGAACTCTTGGTCGATCCATTTTTATTATTGACGTGAAAAATTTCTGATTATATATCGAAAGTTTGAAAGCAATAAAAAGTAAAGATTTAGTTTGATTTAATTTTCCAAAAATAGAAAAATTAAATAAGGACATTTTTATTATTTTTAATTTAATAATATACTTTTAAGACTTATTTTTTCATTTAGTTTTTATACTATGAAGTGAAAAAGATATAACCTTATTTACTGTTAAAATATTTTTATTTTTTATTTATGATATTAAATTTTTTATAAATAAATTCATATTTATAATCAATTATAATTTAAATTTTTTTTATTTATCTGATCTTGAGAATTTTCTTAATAAAACTAATATTATATATATAGTGTTGCAATATTCTATTATTATAAGTTTTAATTCATTTTTTTATATCTTTTTTCGCATTTATGATTCATATTAAAAATAAAAATATTTATTAGAAGTTTTTTTATTTTTAATTTTTTGTATGAATAAAAATTTTTAATAAAAAATAATATAATAAAATTATGATTAAAATTTTTATTATTTTTAATTCTATATCTCTAACTATCAAAATAATATAATTATATTAGTATATATATTTTATTATTTATATTGTTATTCAATATTTAACTATTGATCAAAATTTTTATTTATTATTATTCTTATTATTAAGATCAGAGAGCTTTGAGTTTTCGTAATTTTTGTTAGCTGCTAAAATAGTATTTTTCATTAACATTGCTACAGTCATAGGACCTACACCTCCTGGTACTGGAGTTATATGTCCAGCAATTGATTTTACATTTTCAAAGTCTACATCTCCTACTATTTTATATTTATTATCCATTTTTATTCTTGTAATTCCTACATCAATTATACATGCTCCTGGTTTTATCATTTCCTTAGTGATTAAACCAGGTATACCAGCTGCAACAACAACTAAATCTGCCAATTTTGTAAATTTTTCTAATTCAGTATGAGGAGTATGACGATGACATATAGTTGTAGTCATATCTAGTGCACCTGTTCTATCTAAGAATTAATTTAATATTAAGATTTTATAGATTTTGCAATTATATATTCAATGTTAATGTATCACATATTCATTATATTATATACCTTTACTGTCACCATGTAAAAGTAATGCAATAGGTAAACCAACATGTTTAGATCTTCCTACTACAACTGCATTTTTTCCAAAAGTTTCAATATTATTTCTTATTATTAATTCTTTCACAGCCAAAGCAGTTGCAGGAATAATTCCATTTCTATTTAATGCTAAATTACCTAAATTTTCTAAATGAAAACCATCAACATCTTTACTTGGTATAATCGCCTGACAAACTTCTTGTTCATTCATATGCTTTATTAATGGCAATTGAACAAGAATTCCATCTACAGTCTTATCTTTATTTAAATTATCAATTTCATTAATAATATCTTGTTGTGAACTATTCTCATTTAAGTGAATAGTATAATTTTCAATTCCTAAGTTATCAATAAAATAAATCTATTATATATAGATATCTCATAGTTTTATTTAGTGTATATATATATATATATAATTTATTATTTTTTAAATTATTTAATCAAAAACTATTAATATATAATATATAATAATTATATAATTATATAGATTTTATTATTTTATAACATCTTACCAATAAAATTTGCAGCTTTAATTTTTTTTTCAACATATATTTTACTAGCAGGATTATTACCAACTTTAATAGCCACTAATTTAGGTCTTTTTTTATTATCATTTATCCAATTATCAACAGTTATTTTTAATTCATTTTGTATTTTATTAGCTATTTTTTTACCATCTATTATTATAGCGTTTTGTCTAAAATATATATGTGAATATGTGAATTATATTTTTTATTATCTGTTAAAAAGTTATATTAAGAAACTTGTAGAAATACTAATTAATTTTTCTAATTATTTATTACTATTAATTTTTAATAATTAGTCTTTAATATCTTTTTAATTTTAAATTTTTTAACAATTTTATAAAATTTAATATATATGTTACTTACAATATATTTGAAGTATGTAGTTGCTTCAATGAAGTATGTAAAAGAAGTGACAAATTTTTCTTTAAGAGAAACATATTTTCAAATATGTAATTCTTTACATATATTTGATTATTTCATAGTAAAATATTATATTATTTATATATATAATATAAAATTATTTATCATGAAATAATAAGTAGTTATTATAAAATCTTACACTCTGCTTCTAAATTCGATTATTATAATTTGAAATTTTTATACTGTAATTTTTGTAAATAATATGGTAATATAACACTGTAATATAAGCGCTGTTAGTGAAAGTATACTGAGAACGGTTTGCAGTAGTTACCAGTAGAAATCCTAAAATTATAATGAAAGTTAAGGATTTTTCTATTTTTTAAATAAATTTTTTATATGTTAATGTTTTATTATGTATGGAGAATAATAATATAATTTATTTTCATATATTACGGAAAAAATAATATTATATTTTCAATTTAATATTAATTGATGAAATGATAAATATACTAACAAAATAAACATAAAAATATTGCACTTTTTTCTTAAAGTAATAAAAATGTTAATCTAGATTTTATTTGTAAATTAGAATTTATTGATTTATTCTGCGGAAGATGTCGCTGCTGTATTACTTTATTATATTATTATTTCATTATTATTATTATTTCATAATTTCAAATAAATTTCTAAATTTACAAAAAACATATAATATAATGAAATAGAAAATATATTAAAATACATTAAAATATATTAAAAAACATATTTTAATATTGTGAGAATTCAATTATGACAAAAAAAGCACGTTAAAAATATGAATAAACTTAATTTTACAGGACATAAAATTTTTAATTTGTTTTTTGTATTTTTTAATAATAATATTTGACGAAAAATACTAAAAAATATAAGTTTTAATATAATAAAATATAAATTCAAGAAATCATTACATCAAAATTTAAATAATTTATCTTAGTCTATTTTTTTGGTTCTTTAATTTTAATTAAATATTTTTTTGGAATACACAATGAATAAATTTGTAATGTAATTTTTACACAAATGATATAAAGTTTCTTATTATTATCACAGATGAAATATTATTTCATATCATAAGAATTTTGAAATCACTGAATTCCGTTATTTTCTTATATCACATGCAATGATATATAAAAATTTATATATATATAAAATATAAATATCTCTTACAATATTAATAATAAATTGTATAATATTAATAGATAAAAGAAATAAAAAAATAAAATATATATAATATAAAATATATAATATAATATACAATAATAATAATAATATACAATAATAATATACAATATATATAATATAAAAAATATATATAAAATGTATATATTTACAATATATAAAAATTGCAATAAATAGACGAATGAAATAAATTCTTTTTAGATTTACAAAATAATACAAACAAAATAATAATATTAATTAGATATTGAAATTTCTTTAACACATTTTTCAGATGAAATATAAATAAAGATAATAAATAGTAAGGCAAGAAGAATAAGATACAAATATTGTAATCAGCGCCATCTTAAAAATGTCGCAAATGAAATACAAAAAGAAAGAATAGAAAATAGTGATAGATAGAGATATAATAAGAATAGACTCTTAGCGCCATCTCTCGACATTTTTTGAAAAGTAATATACTTCCAATCGAATAAATCGATAAATAATCGATAAATCGATAATACATTGGCTTATGATGAAACAATTAGAAAGATATTATTCATACTTTGGCGCGCATCAAAGTTATCATCATGAAAGGACATAAGATTTTAATTTCAGTGATTCGACTACAAAATAAGTAATTTTATTTATATTTTATTGTCGAATTTATAATTTACTATTACTTTCTTTTATTTAATAATTTATTTATTATTGTAATGATGAAATTACTTAGTGTTTTGAGTTTAATATAATTAGTTAATTTTATATATTAATTAATTTTGTGTTTTATTGTTATTTTATATATTTTATTGTTATGTGTTTTTTATTTAAAAATTCTTATTTTATACAGATTATTATTTAATTGTTAAGTTTCAAAAAGAAAAATTTCAATATGAATGCCATTGTACTTTTTCAAAAAGAAGTTTTGAAGATTTTTGCTTGTATTTATTCTATTTTCATTCAATCGTTTTTACTTTATTATTTTAAACAGTTCTTATATTTTTATAATAAACATTTACCACAAATATTAATATTTCTAGTTTAAATAATAATTTGAAAATATATATTCTTTTTATATATAATTTTTTATTATTTAAAAAATTGATAATAATCAATTTTTAAAATAATAATATTTTTTGAAAAATGTTTTTTAAATCTAAATTTTCTGAATGTTCGATAGAAAGAAGAAAGAAAATATGGAAAGATTATGAAAATATGAAAAAATAAGAATATGAAAATATGGAAATTAAATTCATAAGTCTTCTGTTTTGATTATTTTAAATTCAGTTATTTTTATATTATGTTCTCTTCTTATTTTTTCAATTTTTATAAATTTATTTAAGTTTTTTGTTAAATTTTTCTTTTGTTTTTTTATTTTTATTTAAATTTAATTGATCTTTTTATTGAATTTCTTCTTTGCATTTATAACTATTTTATTATCTTGTTAAATTAATAATTTTATTAATAATTTTTTTTTCCAATAAATATATCTTTACAGGATTCCAATTTTATAAGCAATAACAAATAATATATATATTATATTATATTTCAATTTTTCGCGCGATTTTTGAATAAAAAAATAAGCATCATGAGCCAGCCAATCAGAATGTCGCTTAATTCGAGACGCGGGACAAATCAATGCGCATCGCAATGCGCAATGTAGTGCGCAACAGTCTACAGTTGAAAATTGTGTGGAGTGGACGTGTCGTCGCAAATTCGGATTCCGCAGTAAGTTATTTTACTCTTATTATTACCAAATTTATCAATTATTGCTAATTTAGTTTTTTAAATAATCCATTCCGTGTAGTGAAAATGAAATTAATTAATATTTTGTGTTTCTTTGTG